GGTGAGTGAAACCATGGAACATTGAGGACAGTGAAGGTAGACATTCATTCTGGAGTAGATATTTCCTGTTTAGTTCAACTGTTTTCATAATTATGACCACGCGTATAGTTCCCAGGTTTTTCTAAAATAAACAATGATGAAATCAATGTCCTTGTACATGTACTGTCACCTGCTGAGTTTTTATTTCTATAGGATAAATTTCCAAACATGACGCTTGCTGGGTGTAGGGGTATGTGAATTTAAATATTTAATAAATATTGCAAGATTGTGCTACAAAATAGTGCAGCAGTTCACACATCCACCAGCAATGAATGAGTTTGCCTGTTTCCTCCATCTTTGTCGGCATTGGATGTTAAATCACTTGAAAAAAATTTCTGTTCTGGGGCCGGCCCCGCGGCGTAGTGGTTAAGTTCGGTGCCAGTTTCAGAAGTGTGAGAGGTTCTGCTTTAAGTTTCTGCAATTGTCCAAAGAGCCCACATCTCAGGATCAGCCTGAATTATCAAGCATTTGCATTACAAATAGTGGCCACTTTCAAGAAGAAATTATTAAACTGAAAGTCCAGTATCTCTGGAACATTGGGAGGGAGTGTACCAGCTGGAAATGTTCTCTCCTGCATCTGATAGAAAACTCAGCTCCCAGCACCTGAAACAGAAGGACATATATCGTTTCTTTCAGGGCCTCCCAAATTTTCTTGGTTCATGGTGTTCCTAGGCCAAGAGCAATACCTAATAGTTCTGTTTATTAAGTAGTTAGGTTCAAAAAACTTAGTATTTATGTCCTAACAACTAATTGGCCATTTGAAAAAAAGAATACACATATATTGAAAGGAAAAATATTTTATTTATATTTTCATTTCATTCTTAAATAGCTATAATTAAATAACTCAATTTAATTGAGTTTTTAAATAACTTTCATTCTTAAATACTACAGGTACTTATCATGGGATATGTGTACCTTTGGGGCACTGCACAATTTCTCAGACCTTGGAATCAAATTGGACAGTGCCACCCTCATTTCCTCTTCCACATTGATTTTCATCCTGTAAAACCAGCTTTGCAAAGGCATGATGCCATTGAAAGGAACGTAAGGCCATTTAATATTAAAACTGTGACCTACCTTGAACTAGTAATTCACAAGGTGTCTGACAGATATTGAGCATCGCTATATTTCCCTTGAAATTTAAAATGTCCCACAGCCTCTCTATGAGTTCATGGCTCCCTGGGGTGCCCTGGTACACAATCTGGGTACTGCAGGTTTATTTAACAAGAAATCTAGAGTAGTTGTTCTTGGAGTTAGTCTGGTGGCTTGGTGATATCATCAATGATTTACCCTTCTGGCAAGTTGTGCCTCATGGGCTCTAGATAGCTGCCATGGTGCCATCATCACATTCTTGCATGACAGTGCAGCCATCAATGCGAGAAACGAGGGAAGGGCAGCATGCCAGGATAAAATATGACCTGCTTTTATACTCTGTCTGGACCTGATGGTGGATGGCAGACAGGTGCCTCCAGATGCAGAGATGTCTTGAACTGTTGCCATCCAAACAGGGGTAAAAATTAGAGGCCTTGGTTATGTCAACCAGACCTGCGATTGGACGACTGAAAGGTTTGCCAGTCATACAATTTCTCAGGAAGACACTATCTCCCTAGCCCACTGTAATCTAGTGCTTTTTGGAGACCAGTACTTGCAAATGGAGACATCAGGCCCTGCAAAAATTCTTGTGTTGTGGAAATATATTGTTTTGCCTGAATGAGATTCAGTCTTTCTCTGGAGACCCACTGGTTTTGGAGCTACTGAGTCCAACCCTGGCTCTAGAGAGGGAGGGGCTGTCTAAAGGACAGATACTAGTTGGCCCAGGAGTCTGAGATTTGAAAGAGGAGAAGTTGGCCAAGAGGGAAAAGAGGACTCCAAATAGAGGGAACGGCATGGGCGGAGAGGGGTGAGGGCACATGGCTCATCCGACAAATTGTTTAGGGTTCATGTGGTAGGACCCTCAGCCTGGTGGCTAGCTGTGGGAGTTTGGTTTTGCCCTGAAAGCCAAGGAGGTGCTGAAAGGCTTAAGTCAGGGAAGGATGTGATCAGATAGACAGTCTGGGGGACAATAACTACCATGTGGCAGAAATTTCTCGGTGCTCATAAAATGCCTTTCTTTTTCCTCCTGGACACACAGCCATGTGTGAAGCCATGTGACTGAGTTCTAGCCCATCAAATACAGATGAGAGGGATATTTGCCATTTCTAGGCCTAGCCCACAAGACCCTCCTGCACAAATCTCCACATTCTCTCTTTCCACATTTGCTGGCTGGTAGAGAAGATCTGAGGACCTAGAGGGTGAAACTCCAGGAAAGACGTAGCCTGGATCCCTGAGTCGCCATGTAGTGAAGAGCCTGCCATGGACTATTACGTGAGCAATGAATCAATTTTTATTATGTGAAGCCATTGAAATATTGGGGTTATTTGTTACATGGGTTGGCCTACTCTGACAAATACAAAGCATAATAATAGCTACTATTTATTGGGCACATGCTCTGGGCTTGGTGCTGTACTAGGTGCATTGTCTCATTTAATCCACACAAAAACCCTAGAGGGATGGGTACCACCATTAGCCCACTTTTATAGACAAGGAAACTGAGGCAGAGAGAGCAGACGGCAGGTGATGGCAGAGAAGCCTGATCCCCAAACTTGGACCCAAGTGCCAAACTGTGCCTTGCTGACTCCCAGTATTAAAGGAATCAGTTAAATTTGGGTGAGGCACGGAGACCAGATGGGGAGTTATTATAGTAACACCAGCCAGGACTCCCTGCCCGTGAAATGGGAAAAATCATGGGTTGTTGTAAATATTAATTGAGATAGTATGTGTGAGGTGTTCAGTGCAGGGCCCAGCACCAGGCAGGTGAATAATAAATGACTGATTTTCTTCAAGAGACTAAACAAGAACTAATGAAGGCCTGGGTGAAAACAGGAGAGGAATATTCCCGAAGTAACACTTGGCAGGACTTGGGCAAAGAATGAGGGAGATGGGGAAGTTGAGAGTTGGACGACTCTCTTATGTTGCCATTTGCAGGAAGATGGCAGGAGGATGTGAGAAACAGCTTGTACAGCATGCTGTGGGTATGGAGCAGGGAGAGAACGGGTCTCAAGATAATCAGCAGGAGAGCAGACGCTAAGCCTTCTGAGACGTGCGGGTGTTCAACAGAGGCGCTCATCCTGGGCCTCCCGCTGAAAAGAGCTATGAGCAAACTGTCAAACCTTTGTCCAGACACATCCACTTCTGTCCTGAAGCAGATACTTTTTATCTACACGACCTTGGGCCCGTTCCTTAACTTCTTTATGCCTTGTTTTCGTCATCTGAAGATGGGGATGAGAAGTAATAGGACTTATCTCACAGGGTTGTTGTGGACATATGCAGAGGGCTTAGCACAGTGTGAGATACGTAATGAGTAGTCAATAAAGGGTAGAAATTATCATTGAAATTCTCTTATCCCTAACAGTATTTCTTTGTCTGTCTCTAGCTACGCAGACAAACATTCAGGTAATAGCTATGAGCACAGAGCAGAATCTTTGCCTGGCTTCAGTGCTGCATTTACGGCCAGCTCTTGTGACAGTGACGGGCTCGTGGTAGGTATTTAAATATTTGTTGACTGGGTGAATAAGGAAACCCATCTCTCCCTCCTTTCTGCCTTCCTCCCTTCCTTCCATCCTTCTATCTGTCCATCCATCCATCCATCTTAGAAAGGCAGTAGAGTATAGTGGCTTAACCTACAAGTTTTTTTTTTTTTTTTTCAATTGTGGTCAAATATACGTTAACATAAAATTTATCATTTTAACCATTTTAAGTTATAGTTCAGTGGCATTAACTACATTCATATTGTTGTGCAACCACCCATCTCTGGAACATTTTCATCTTCCCAAACTGAAACTCTGTTCCCACTAAACAAGAACTCCCCATTCTCTCCTCCTCCCAGCCCCTGGCAACCACCATTCTCCTCTCTGTCTCTATGAATTTGACTCCTCTAGGGACCTCACACGAGTGGAATCATACAGGATTTGTCCTTATGTGACTTAGCCCACAAGTTTTGCAATCACAAAAGCTCTGTGATCCTGGGAAACTTAACTTTCCTCCTGAATCTCCGCTTCCTCATCTGTAAAATGGCTGTAATAATAGTACCCACCTCATAGGGTTGTTGTGAGGTTTAAATGAGATAATGCATATAAGCCACTTAGCCCAGTGCCTGGAATGTAGAAAGTGCTCAATAAATATTAGTTACTCAGAAATGTATGTTCTAAATTAGGAGACACTGGTGTTGTACTGATCACGTGTCTGGTACTGTTGTAAGCCCTAACGCATTTAAACCTCCCAACAACCCTGTGCCATTGGTGCTATCACTGTCAACCACACTTCATAGAGGAGAAAACGAAGGAACAGACAGGGTGAACCGCACACTCAAGGTTGCACAGCCAGTTCCCCGCAGAGCTGGGATTGAAGTCCAGGCAGCCTGTTTCCAAAGTCCGCGGGCTTTACCGCGGCCCCACACTGCTTCTGCCGCCTCTGTCAGTGGACACCCGTCTGCACACTCGTGCGTCAGGCTAGCAGGGAGAGTGAGTGGAGGTGTCGAGACCTCAGACAGGAGGAGGCGTCTGTGGGAATCTGTAGAAAAATCATTGAGGATAAGCGTGCTGTTACTTCCCATGTGCAGTCCCAACCCGGTGGGGCCCTCCTCATGTCCATTTCCATGCGAGGGCCTCCTTTGGACATTCACTGATCTCGGGGAGTGGGGGAGCGGGGGAGCGGGGGAGCCGGGCCCTCCACCTGCTGCTGGGGAGGCCTGGAGCGCTCCCAGGTGGCACGGCCGGGCCAGCACCTTTTCACCTTGTTGGCAGGAAGCTCAGCAATCTTGACCACCCCCTGCCCTGCCCAGTTGAGATAAAAAAAAGGTTTCCTATTCTGGGCCTCAGGGCCACCTCCCACCAAGGCTTTATTGCTTTCTTGGCACTTCAGGGAGCTTCTGCAGCCCTTTAAAAGGGGCAGAGCCTGTAGTGGGATCAGTGGCCCTGGTTCTGGAGATAAAGGTGTCCAGGAGAGCAGGTGCGGGCTTCCCAGCCAGCTCAGGCCAGAGCCAGGGTCCTGTTGTCTCAGGCCTGATGTCTGCAGAGGTGAGCCTGCTGCTGGCCCCTTCCTCTGCAGCCTGGCCGTCCAGGACGTCGCTGAGACTTAATTCAAGGCTGGGGTGCTGGGGGCTTCTTTCTGGGCTCTCTTCCCGCCCGTGTCCACTCTCTCTTTTCCCTGCTGCAGGCGGCCATGGCTATGTGTGACCCTGAATTTGGTGGTGGCAAGATGAAGGAGACAAGCGTGGGGGGCAGATGGCGTGGGTCCTGGTACGAGCGGTTCGTGCAGCCCTGCCTGGTCGAACTGCTGGGCTCGGCCCTATTCATCTTCATCGGGTGCCTGTCGGTCATCGAGAACGGGGCGGACACTGGGAGGCTGCAGCCGGCCCTGGCCCACGGGCTGGCCCTGGGCCTCGTCATCGCCACGCTGGGGAATATCAGGTGAGGCCAGCTCCGGGCAGTCACCCTGGTGCCAACCTGCGGAGCCAGGGTGGGGAGCAAAGCTGGCGGCAGAGACCCCTGGGCGTATACTGAGGATTCCCAGAGCACTGTGGATAGGCGTGGGGCTGGGAAGTCAGACTGCCGGGTTCAAACCCTAGCTCTGCAGTCCACGAGCTCTGTGGCTTTGGGCAAGTCACTCTCCAAACCCAAACTCCCCCACCTATAAAATGGGAACAATAGAGCATTTTCTAAATTAAATTTCCTAAGCCAACACATATGTAGAGCTAACCATGTGCTGGGCATTATTCTAAGCACTTTACAGGTAGTAACTCATTTAATCCTCGCAACAACCCCGTGGGGAGGCACTGTTATTATCCTCATTTTCCAGTTGTGAAGGAGAAACGCCAGGTAACTCGTCCAAGGTTACATGGCTAGTAAGAGGCAGAGCCGGCAGGCAGGTCAGGCTGTCTGGCTCCAGCGCCCCAACCCAGCGCCTCATGGGGGAGGCACAAAATGGAATGATGTGAAGAGCTTAGTCCATATCAAGGGTACTGTGTCGTTACCACCAGTAGAATGGGGTTGACTCCAGCCTCGGGGAAAGCGGAGGTATGCGGAGGAATGTGCAGAGGGGTTTCCCACTGGGGTATGCATGTAGACGCAGTGTCCGGACCTATCGAGTGGTGACCAGAGAGGGCAGGGAGGGCCGAGGGTGCCCCCTGCACAGCACTCGTATGTATGGACGGGAGCTCCTTCGGAGTTCAATGGGATTCCAGAGGAACCCACCGCAATGACGGGCATCTTGAACGGGCGCCTGGCAGGGTGATCTAGGACATGCTTGGTCTGTACTTAATCTCGCTCAGAAAATAGATCTGAATAAGGAAATTAAAATACTGTTTCCCAGAAAAATAGAATAGAAAGAGAACTTTAACATTTCTCTTTAAATGTCCGGGGGAAGCTGCAGGTGGAATGAAAAACACATTTTCTGTTCTGACGGGTCTGGGGTTGAATGCAATCTTTGTCACTTCTTAGCTAGGTGACCAGGGCAAGTAGCTGAGTCTCTCTGTGTGCAGCAATATAAATGGAGATAATAATAATAGCTGGTATTTACTGAGTACTAACTGTGTATACAACACTATATATGTACACTTATTAATTCATTATATCTTTGCAACAGCCTCAAGAGGTAGGGATCATTGAGGCACAGAGAAGTTATATAACTTGCCCAAGGTCACACAGCTATTCGGCGGCAGAGCTGGGGTTTGAACTCAGGCCAGCTGGCTGGAGAGACCATATCTTATGCACCGCAGTAGACTATCTGTAACACCAACCTTTTATTCAATCATTTGCTTTTCAACAAATATTTATTCAGCACCTACTGTGTGCCAGGCACTGACTTTGAGGTTGTTGAATGGACCTAAGATAAGGCATATAAAGCACCCAATACAGCACCTGGCACATAGTAAGTGTTCCATAAATACTTGTTGAGTGAACACTGAATGCATTGACTAGAAAGTGTCCTGATTGTTTTACTGTCAATGGGTGTGAAGTTAGTCTCAGGAACCTGTGTGGTGTTCCACACAGTCAGCCCTCTCCTGGTCGAGCCATGCTCAGAGTAACAGCTTCTTTCCCGGTTTGGGCCCAGGAGAGGGCTTTAACCCTGCTGTGTCCTGTGGGAGGCTGCCCCACCCCACTTCTCTCTATGCTTTGGCAGAGCCCAGGCTGAGCTTGCTCATGGACCCAGATTGAGGCCAGGTAGGCGTGGCCGCGCCTTCTCACCACCTATTGAGTCTGAGCCTCGGCTGGTGCTTCCAAACCAGGCATGAAGCTTACCCGAGGGCCTGCATATAGAGCTGGGACAGACGAGCTGGGGCAGCTGGTCCTGAGATGTCAGTGTGTTGGACAAAGTCCTTTTGTCCAGAGGCAAGGTCCCCTGTCCACTCTCAGCTCAATGCTCTGTCCACTGGGGGTGGGCAGACCCACTGGTGGGCTTTTAATACCTGGGGGGGCACTTTAATACCTGGGGGGGCACTTTGGGTCTTGTGTGACATGGAGGGTCTTGGGGTCACTTTCCCTTTTGTGGGAGGCGTCCATTTCATGCCCCAGAGGGATTTAATGGGCCAATCTCTGAGGATAATGCCCCTATCTGAATGGGACTGGATGGGATGCTGATGGGGGTAGCAGGGTGCTGGGGGCCTCCTGGCTCTGGGACCCGGGCTGGTTGAGCATCTTGGTGAAAAGGAAGGCTCTTTCCCATGACCAGTGGAGGGGCCGGCCAACTTGAACCTGCTCTTTGACCCTAGGTTCAACTTTGTCTAACCTCCTTCACATCCCAAACTCCAGATCCCGATCCCCAACCCCCTCCTGAACCTCACTCCCCATTCCCAATTCCATTTCTATGAACTCCTAATCTCAATTTTACACTCAATGCTAATCACACTTTCAGGCCAAAACCAGGGATTTTATTGGTTTAGCAGTTCAACCAATCAGGAGCTCTTGTTCAGGGCCTGGTTACTTATAAGGGGAGGCCAGGATACCTCTCCTGGGCTACTAATTTGGAGCCTGGGGTCTCCTTCTGACCTGTGGCCACGTCTCCGAAGGACTGAAAGGAGCTCTGAGGGAGCGTGGAAGGAGTTCAGGGATGGTTCCCCATTACGTTCTCCTTTGGGCCCTCCTGGGGTCTGGGCATAGGGCAGGAACTGGGCTGCTCTTGCTTATCCCTTGCCCCACCATTCAGCACCTCAGGGAAAATGGGAGCTTGCTTTTCACTTGGGCTGGGCCCTTGACTGACTCTGGCCCTACAAGGTCAGGCTGGGAGGCTGGTTGGGGCACATTCCCTTGGGTGACAGCCTTGGCCTTGGCCTCATGACTTCCTTCTGTTTTTGTGGATGACAGTGGTGGACACTTCAACCCTGCGGTGTCCCTGGCGGCCACGCTGATTGGAGGTCTCAACCTGGCGATGCTCCTTCCCTACTGGATCTCGCAGCTCTGCGGGGGGCTGATCGGGGCTGCCTTGGCCAAGGTGGGTGATCCCCTAGGGGCTTTGGCTCTGACAGGGCTGCTGGAGTGTATGTGTGGGGGGATGGGGAGTGTACAGTTCTTTTCTGTTTCCTCCAGTGGGATTGGGTGGGCCCTTTCTACTGGGGAGGGGACCCTCAAAGGGCCTTTGTTTCCCTCCAAACCCACCCTGTTCTGTCCGTGTCTGGACACAGCCCTTCCCTGGACAGACTAGGAAGCAGAATTCAAGACTCGAGGTTTCTCTTTCTGAGTCCATTTCCGGCTTTGGATAGTTCTAATGGTTTTTCATCCATCCATTCATCCATTCATTCATTCATTCATTCACGTGTTCATTCACTCTACAAACATCTCACTAAACACTGACCAAGGGTATGAGATGAATATGATTATTCTCCTTGAGAAACTCCTGAACTGACTTCTCTGTGTGCTCTCCAGCTTGTCTGCCTTTAAACGGAGTTATTCTACTTTTGATGGGAGTTAATATTCAATTTATGTTTGGAATCCTTCCATCCCAACAGGAAGACTAGCTCTTCCCCTCTGCCACAGAATTCTTAAGCTTTACACGTAACTCCATAGATGAACTCCCTTCCTCCCTCTTTGACTGCCTGACTTCCTTCCTTCCTTCTCTTCTCTTTCTCTCTCTTTCCTTCCATTGCCCTTAAGTCTTCAAGAGGCCCCTCAGGATGTAGGCCTTGCTTGCTGTGTGTGTGTGTGTGGGGGGGGAGGGCAGAGTGTGGGGGTTTGGGGGATGAGTGCAGGGGGGCACCCTGTTAGCCTGGCTGGGGTTTGGTCTATGACTCTAAGTGCTGGCCCATTGCTGACTTTGGTCTCAAATCCCGTTTTGCTGTCTTCCCTGCCCTGGTCTCCCCATGCCCCCATATGAGACCCTGTTCCTCTGTCTGTAGAGTGGACTGGGACCATCCTTCTCTGGTTCTTGATGGAAAGCATGCCCAGGCTCTCCCTCAAGCTGGGCCACATGCAAACTTGTCAAACATGATGGCGAACAGTGCAAGGAAGCAGCTGCCGTCGCTGAGTGCACCCTCCCTGCACTTTACACATCCTCTCTCGTTTAACCTCCCGACGACTTCCCGAGAAGCTGCAGTCAATCCTTAGAGGACACTCGCTCCCTGAGTTAGGAGCTGTTACTGTCATCCCCACTTTATAGAGCGGGAAACGGAGGCACAGAGAAGTCAGTAACGTGCCCAGGTTCTGATGAGCTGGTGAGCAGCAGAGCGCAGGTTTAGGTCCAGGGTCCTGAAGCTTGTCTGCTCGGCCAGCCTCCCTCTCCACGTGCTGTGACAGCCCCTGAGGCCCATTTCCTGGGAAGCCCGCGGAGGTTAAGCTTCAGGGCTGTCCTTGCACAGGCCCCTTCAAAGGAGCCTTGTGGGGGGCAGGCAGTGGGTTCACCTAGTCATATGTGTTAGCCAAGTTCGTAAAAGTAAGGTATTTTGTACTGTTTTCTTTCTTTTTTTTTTTTTTTTTGTGAGGAAGATCAGCCCTGTGCTAACATCTGCCAATCCTCCTCTTTTTGCTGAGGAAGCCTGGCCCTGGGCTAACATCGTGCCCATCTTCCTCCACTTTATATGAGACGCTGCCAGAGCATGGCTTGCCAAGCAGTGCGTCGGTGCGCGCCCGGGATCCAAACCGGCAAACCCCGGGCTGCTGCAGCGGAGTGCACGCACTTAACTGCTTGCACCACTGGGCTGGCCCCCTGTACCGTATTCTTTTTCTTAAAGAGGGTCATCTAAGTTACATAAGCTTCAGCCCCACAACACCTGGAGCCACTGCTGGGTTTTCTCCACTTACAGATGAGCAAAACAAGGCTCAGAGTAGTCCGATAGCTCACACAGAGCCACACAGTAAAAACTGGTGCAGCTGGGATGTGGACCCAGATATGTCTGACTACACATTGGATAGAATCCTTCACTGGCTGTAAAGGTTGGGGACGTGCGTTTTTAGGCCCCGCTCCCCTCTGCTCCCAGGTGTCTCTCCACACGCTATGAGGCTGAATGACTTCTCTCCACAGGCGGTGAGTCCTCAGGAGAGGTTCTGGAATGCGTTTGGGGCAGCCTTTGTGACAGTCCAGGAGTCGGGACAGGTGGCCGGGGCACTGGGGGCAGAGGTTGTCTTGACGACACTGCTGACACTGGCCGTATGCATGGGTGCCATCAACGAGAAAACACGGGGCCCTCTGGCCCCATTCTCCATCGGCTTCTCCGTCACCGTGGATATCCTGGCGGGGTGAGTGCCCCTCAGCAGCGGGACTGCAGCCCAGGCCTGGGCTGAGGCTCAGCTCTGGGCGGGGTGTCAGGCCTGCAGAGCTTACCTGCTGGTCACAGACTCAGTTGCCAAAAGAGGCCATGAAGATAATGCAAATTGGGGAAGTGGGCTGGCACCAGGCAGGCAGTAGGGAGTGGTGGGGACTGTGGTATTCAGCTCTGTAGTATTCACTATTCAGCTCTGATAAATTACTGCTGTGAGAGAATATGGGCTTGGGGTGACTCACCTTCTAATTTCATTCCAGGGAAGTCAGAAGGCTGGATTTTTATGTGAAATTTTCCAATCTTCACGGTGTCAATAAAACATTTATGCAGGCTATGTTCGTCCAGCCAGTAGGCAGTCAGGTTTTAGCTTCAGACCTACCAAGAGCTTCCATACCCATGGTCTCATTTGTGTTGAGCCTCTCAGTAGGTTTGGGAAGGGATTAAGGAGACAACATTGGGTCAGGGATTATTTCTCCCATTTTATATATCAGGAAACTGAGGCTCAGAGAGGACACAAATGACTTATTTAAGATCATTGGGCAGTAGCAAATTAAGTGACAGGTCTGGGACAAGAGCCCAAATCTGCTCAAGGGGGTGAGGAAGCCCCTTCCTAATGTCCAATTCCTTCCTTTTTCTTGGACACAGAACGGACCTTTGCTTTCCCCGGCTCTAACCTCCAGCTCTGTGCCGTCCTTCGGGAGGCGGAGTCTGGGGAGCTGGGGAATGTGTGCGTAAAGCTGCGGCTATGCTTTGCTGCCCCCTAGTGGCTTTTGGTTCACTTACACGCCTACTGACTCCTTTCTGCTTTGGCTACTGGACACCAGAGGTTGGGTGGGGGACAAGGTCTGCAGGGCCCCAGCTTGAGTGAATGGGGGCAAGGATACAGACACCTGGGGAACAGTGCCCTGTAAGAGATGCTGGGCCCCAAGCTTGTGGTGCAACAAGAGCCTCAACCGGCTCAGCTAGATTAGAGTTAACATTGTACACGAATTATATGCGAGACGTGGGCAATATATGTGCGTTTTCTTATTCACTCCTGACAACAGCCAATGAGAGGTACTTTCAACTCAAGTGAAACACAGAGAGGTTAAACAAAGGGCACACAGCTGGAAATAGCTGGGATGGGTTCTGAACCCAGGTTGGCTGGACTCCAAAGTTCACACAGTTGACAACTGCTTGACTTCACTTTATCAACTTTGGAGAGAACCTAGATCCACCCTGTTTTCCTGCCATCACCGAACAGGCACTCCTGCTGGCCATTCTTCTAGAAGGGTGTGTGGGGAGTGGCAGACTTACGCTCAGGGAGGTGGCAAGCCTTTCACTTCCTAGCGTTGATAGCCTCTTGGCTTGTGTCTTCCTTGGAACTCCCCAGAACCCATCATATGGTAGCTTAGAGAGGGTTTCTGTGTGGCGTAAGACGTAGGCCTAGTTGGGGAAGTGAACTTGAGGTGAGTGGGGCCTGGTTGGGATCCTGGTGACCCGTGTGGCTGGGTGTTTGCAGGGGTGCTGTGTCAGGAGCCTGCATGAACCCTGCCCGTGCCTTTGGACCTGCTGTGGTGGCCAACTACTGGAACTTCCACTGGATCTACTGGGTGGGCCCATTCCTGGCCAGCCTGCTTGTAGGAGTGCTCATCAGGTAGGAGCGTGACCGGGGCCACTGGTTTGTCTGAGAGGCACCTGGTGATAGCTCCCAGAGCATCCAGGGCTGGAGGGTGGGGTTCTCACTCATGTTGGAGAAGGGAAGAGAGAGCCTTCTTCAGAGGCAAAGATTATGGCTCTGTGACCCTCGGTTGTGACCGAAATCTACCTCAACAGAGCTTATGTCATAAAGGGGGATTCATAATTGAAAAGGCTCACATAATTGAAAAGTTCACAGCTAGCACAGGTAGGTGCTCAAACAATGCCTTGGGATTTGGTCTTTCTCACAGGCTCTGCAGTCCTCTGTGTAGGCTTCATGCTTAGATAGGTCTCCAATAGTGGGAAAAATGCTCTCTAGGCTTGTATCCTGGCAGCTTAACAACTGCAGAGGAAACAGAACAACAGCTCTAGCAAAAGGCCTGGGTCTCACGCTCACTGGTTTGGACTCGCCCAGCTTGGGTCATGTCTACGTCTGAATCAGTCACTATAGCCTTGGGGTCAGCACTCTTCTTGGCTATGTCTGGAGCATGAGCCTACCCCTGGAGGGGGCTGAGGTCAGACTTACTTGAACAAGCACATGGCCTGAGAGTAGGGCAGGAGCAGTTCCCCAAAGGGGTGCTGTGCAATTCCAGGGCCCCTATCCACAACGAAAACCATGTAAATGGTGCCCCCAAGAGCATGCATGTCAGGAGATGCCATTCACATGAAACACAATGTGAACAGTGCTCCCTGGAGTTGTGCAATGGATAATAAGGTTGACGTTATCAGAAGGATAATACCTGCTTGACTGTTTCCCCTCGGGCTCTCTTCTCGTGAGTCTGTGGAAGCTCAAGGATTCATAGAGTCCTGTTCTTCCTGCTCCAGGTGGGGCAGGAATTAGGGTCTGAATTTAGCACAAGTTGGACCTATGTTCCACTGTCTTGGAGAGGACAGTCACTGGGCTGGGCGGATCTAGATCATTGCCCATCTGCAGTCCTGGCTTAGCCTTGGCTTAATGAAAAGCATCACCAATAATTCTCTGTCTGTTGCTTTCAGAATGGCAGAGATGTGCATCTTCAGGAAAAGGGCTGGAAACCAAACAGGAAAGAGTTTCTGCCTCTCCCCAAGGGGATCTGGCTCCTGAGGCTGGGAAGGCTCAGGAAGGCATCTGTCTGGAGAGTTCTGGGCCTAGAGACGTTGATGAAGGGCTGTGTCTCTCCCCCACAAGCTCAGAGACCTCACTGGGCCATTTTTTTTGTAGGTTCCTCATTGGAGATGGGAAAACCCGCCTAATCCTAAAGGGACGGTGAAGCTGAGATGGTGGAATTCCTGCCGCTCCAGTTTCCCTCAGTGGACCCCTCCTGGACTGCAGACAGGACAGCTTCTGCCATTTCCTGCTAGGGCAGAGGACCAGAGGAGCAACTGACCTGAGCCTAGCTTCTCGGATAGACAGACTGCCGCTAAGTCCTGAGGATGCTCTAGGCTCTTTGAATTCCTTTGTACTCATCAGAGTCCTCAGCCCAGGGAACGTGTTGCCAGCACTGCCCAGAGGGAGGCAGAAACAGCACAACAGAAGAGTTTTTCTTGACAGGGAAGGTCTAGGAGCAGAAGAGCCGTTGGAAGAGATGGCTGTGTATGTACATCAGCTCATTTCCCCCACCCCGTTTTCTCTCCTTCTCTTGTTTCCTGATTCTGACTATGTATTTCCTTGCTTCCTGAGCTGCCAATCTAGCTTTGCAATAAATAGTCCAGTATTTCCTTCCACACGCTCATTGGCTTGCCTTTCATTTCAGAAATGGGCACTGCTGGAGAGGAAGCAAAAGTCTGGGTTGGGCCTTAGCTGTCCAGAGTCTAGTTAGCTTGAGTTCAGCTCAGAGTCCAGTGCCGAGGTAGCTACTTAGAGTGCAGGCCAACCCACAGCCTGTCACCCACTCAGCCAGACCATCCTGGAGCTCTGTCTGAAGCTCCGAGTCCATTCTATGGTCCAGTTTGGTCTCTAGTCAGTCAATTCCAGATCACAGACCTCAGGGCCCTGCTGAGAAGCCCAATGCAGAGTACAGGGTCTGGTGTAGTGCCCAGTACTACCCAGTACTACCAGGACATGGATCAGCCCACTCATCGCACTCAGCTGGGGATGAGGGTGGGTGTGGGGGTGGGCCAGAGCTGCAAGAATTTCCCACGGAAATATATAACATGTGCATAATATAGGTCTGGAGAGACAGTGATATTTGGATGGAAGATATGAGTATAATGAATAAGAAAGGACAAAAAGACACATTCTGAACTTCACACTTTACAAGTAGAGTGTGCATCTTCTCTAAGAATTTATGGGTCATTTGTGGAACATGATCATTATAACACCATAAAGAAGTACTAGGGAAAAAGAATCCTCAACAAACGAAAACTCGCCCACTTCTATAAGATGAACAAAACGCTCACCTGAGTAAAAATGAAGAAAATGCACACTAGAGAAAATCACCAGGATAGTCAGAGACTGCCTACTGAGAAAATGGACACTATATCCTCAAATGTCCAAACCATTTTTAGGGAAAAAGAGAATAACAAATAATAATAATAACAATAACAAACCTAAAGAAAAGAAAAAGGGAGGAAATAATATGATAAAATCAGAAACAAGAAAATTAGAACACTCACAAAGAGTGAGAAATGATAAAAGTTACTATTTCCTTGGGTGAAATAAATAATGAAATAAACCTTTGGTAAATCTAGTGAATAAAATAGTTATATATACATATATACATACACATATATATATACACATACATGCACATGTGGACACCTATGTAGAGCTAAAATTTATTTAGTGTTTATTGTCTGCCTGGCACTGTGCAGAATGCTTTGTGTGCATTATTTCATCTACTCCCCACAACAATCCTACAAGGTAGGTGTAGTGGGTTGAATAGTGTTGCCCCAAATTCTTGTCCGCCTAGAACCTCAAAATGTAACCTTATTTGGAAATAAGGTCTCTGCAGACATAATTAAGATAAGAATCAAGATGAGGTCATATCGAATTAGGGTGGACCCAAAATCTAATGAGAGTGTCCTTATAAGAGACAGAAAAGGACACACAGAGACACAGAGAAGGCGGCCATGTGAGGATGGAGGCAGAGACCGGAGTTAGGCTGCTACATGCCAGTACCAGGAGTCACCAAGAGCTAGAAGAGGCAAGGAAGGATTCTCCCTACAGCCTTGGAGGGACCACGGCCCTGCTGACACCTTGATTTCAGACTTCTGGCCTCCAGAACTCTGAGAGAATACATTTCTGCTGTTTTAAGCCATTAAGTTTGTAGTAATTTGTTATGGCAGTCCCAGGAAACTCATATAGTAGATACTCTTACTCTTCTCATTTTCCAGAGGAGCAAATGGAGGTTCCAAGAGGTGACGTTACCCAAAGTCCCATACTTAGTAGGTTGGTGGAGCCAAGATCAGGTATGTTTGATTGCAGGGTTCATGATCTTTGTCATCACACTTTACTGTTTCTGAATAAGGGACAGTATGTCTCCTGCCTTGTCTCCTACTTGCCTGTTAGGTCCCCATTAAGAGGGGGGACAGAAAGACATGCGTTGTAATTCTTCTCATTCCTGACTTGCAACCGGGTTTCAAGTCCTGGCCTTCACATCAATTTCTAGACCATAGCTCTCAAGAGGAAGATCGATGCCAATTCATCTTTGTTAACTCCACATTATTTGGCTTCGTGTTTGCTATATGGAAGGGACTAAGTACTTGTTGACAGAAAGAATGGCATAGGCTGATCTCAATGACTCCCAAATTCATGCTGACCCTACAGAGTAGAATCCAAAATTGACCCAGATCTCCAAATTTCACCTCCATCCCACCTCGTGTCTTCTCAACAACAAGGAAGTCACAGAATTTTAGGATGTTAGAACTAGACACTCTATGATAGTAGTGAAATGTAGCTGCTACGAGTTTGGATTCTGAGAAAGATCTGAGTTTAAGTCTCAGAACATTCACTGCTTTGCTGTATAACCCTGAAGAAGCTATTGACCTTTTCTCAGCCTCCGCTTCTTTATCTGTAAACTGGAAATATCGCCTCAGAATGCTTGTGAGAATAAATATCGTTTGTTAAGCATTAGCACAATGCCTAGTACATAATACGTGGACACTGTGTTAGCTTACATTTATTATCATCGAATCAAAGGTTTTGCAACTTGCAGGTATCAGAATGATGGCAAGGGGGTGGAGTTCTGGCAAGGAGATTCTGAATGGACTTTGCACATATTTTCTGTCAGCTCAGTCAGCCGCCCTCATATAACCATTTTTGGGCCTCTCAAGGGGAAAAGGTTGGGAACCACTCACGCTGTTCAACCCCCAAACCCAGAAAGGCTAAATCATTTGACTATAATCACACAGTGATCTAGTGGCAGAGCTCAATTAGAATCCAGGATTTTGGACACACAGTCGATTCTTTCTACTGCACTTGGAGGACAAGTACCTATTCATTCCCTTTAGCCAGAAGTGGCTTGAGTCCTCACATGCTGCGTTGTTGGGGAGCCCACTGTTACACTTTTGCGTCTCTCCCTCACGGAACTGTCCAAGAACTCTGAGAGTTTATGCAATCCAAAAGGGAAGTATGCCAAACTTCTCCTCTCATGTCGCAACTTTTTATTATGTGCCTGCTGCTGCATTTGCCTCTCTCCCACGTGGTGCCGCTGTTGGGAGTGGTCCTCAGAGACGGCGTGTGCTGTATAACAGCTAAGTCACACTTGTCCAGGCCAGGGTGGTTTCCTGAAAGAGGGGTTGTTCATTGACAATTCCACAACTCCGTGCCAAGCACACCTGCATGCTCCACTGGCTCTCTGCTCATGCATCCAAGCAACCCTTAAGGACAGAGCCTTGCAGGTCTTCCCCCATCCCCTCCACCCCACACTGCCATCCTCCTCCAGAGTCCTACTGCCTCGGCGTGGGCTTAGGCATTCGCCTTTCTTGGAACCCAAACCCACTGTTTCCCCTCCAAGTCTCTGGACTCATCATGGAGTTTGGGGGTTGTGACCAGTTATGTTCCTCTTAGTGCTTGAAACACAAAGCATTCATCTTCCTCCCTTAAAGTCTAACTGCCTTACCTGGTTTATAGGAAATGAAAATCTGTAGCCTTCAGAGGTCTTCCCCCCTTACAGATTTAAAGTTTCTCATCTAATTTCCAGGCCTGAGTCAGTTCACAGGCCGAAATCTCTGTAAAGACACGGAAGGTCAGGTAACCTTGTGGAAGAACTCTGATATAACACTGCACACGAATATTATGAGCCTTTATCTTTGCTTCCTCCAAAAATGTCGTGGCCATTTACTCAAGAAAAATATAGAAAAAATATAGAAAAAAAACACAGGGACTCTTAGGTACTGACTCTGAACAGCTATAATTCTTGAAAACCTTGGGTATTACTGCAGTCGGCTGCAGAGTAGAGGCTTCTAAAGTCCAGGTGAGAGACAGACTTTGTCTGGAATCCACCTCATGTTTAGGTGAACTGGCTCTTTAAACCCAGCCTAGGGTTTTTCGTACAGTTCCTGAGTATGGTTAGAAATATATCCTGAGCAAGCGGCAAAATCTCTACATTTACTCTACAACCCAGGGAGTTGGAGTTGCTACAGGAAGGACTAAGTGGAAACCCCTGGAACTCTTTAAATCAAATAGTAAATCAAAAGCAACAATGTATCTTTGGGCAAGTGGCAGAGACTTGCTCCCCCATAAAGGCTGTGGGTGAGTGCCTCACCCAGAATACATGCAGTCTGTGCATCCAAGGCTAATTCCACCCTAGAACTAGAGCCAAGCATTATTTGGGACAACGGCAGTGACAACTATCAGAGGCCTGCTGCACAAGAATAGCTGTGGACTCACAGAAGATCCCCGATAGTTGTCAGGGGAGCAGTGAACTGGAAGGAGACTGAAATTCTCTTTAGCTACTAGGATCAGCTTTTATTACCTCTTGGATAAGTTCTCTTTCCCCCTAATAGAAGACATCCTTTAAATTATGGCAAACACCAGTAGGAGTCGTTTATTTTAGACATTTATTTCACATACAAGTTTTCAAGAAGACATCTAAGCGAACATTGATACAAAACAATGAATAGACATACATTTATACTCGGAATGCATTCAGACAGAGGCAAAGGCTTAAAGGTACACAAGTCACTCAGACACCGCCTGCCCTTGGGGCTTCCCCAGTTCCCTCACAGTTGAGTCTTGTCTGTCACGGGGAACCGGAGCTCACAAAATAGGCTTTCCTCACCACAGCTACCTGCCATTGGCTGCCAAGGCGCCTCAGGGGCTGCCTGCTGTTGAACATGGGTGATTTGTCCTGTCTCCTTACTAAGCGAGCTCCTGGACCGCTCACAGCACCCCTCTTCCTAAGTACAAAATGGGTTCCGTATGGCTCGGATGCTGCATGTAGTGGTGAGTTGTTAAGTTCTGTTTTTCTAAGTTTTGAGTTTTCCAGCAGCCAGAACAAAGAGAGAAAAGCAGTAAGTTATAAAAAATCACAGTGTTTGTAAAGTAACTTTTTTTTTTTTTGCTTAGGATCAGATCTTTCCCTGGTACAAAAATCTAGAAAAAACCTTTTCCTGTGGATCTTCATAAAGGGAATGTTATGTGATATACGAGACATTAATCAGAGTGTGGTTATTGTTTTTGACTTTCATGTTCCAGCTGAAAAAAGATAAAAATACAAGTAGCCTTGGTCTAAGATGGTGGGTAGGATTTCTATTTCTTCAGAACAGAGAGAAAGTTCATTAAGTTAATTTAATACTCGTCCAAACAGCCCATTTACAATTAGGAATACAGGTAGGGGAACCCAAATTTCACCTCAGCTTGATCCCAGAGGTACGAGACAACAGAATCAGTTTGTTCCACTGGAGACAGAATGGGTCTTGATCCTTTCCTGCCATTGGGGAAGGTTGAGAGACAGAGGTACACAATACGATTTTATGCAATTTAGTTCCTTTGCAAGTGAAGGTGATTTTCTCATGACTGTTAGTGACCTTTTGTAATTGACATGAATCTAACTGGCATTACTTCTTGCTATGATACTTTCTCTATAATATTGCAAGTTCCTTGAGTACAGACACCAGGCCTTTTTTCGTTCTCATATCCCTCACTGTGCCTAGAACATAGCCTCACACATATAGTGCTTAATAAATATTTATAAATAAATCATCTACTTTCCTGAATCATGCTTTATATAATTATTAATCCTGCGTCCATATTACTAAGTGGTCATTTCTACTAATGTGCATCTTCTCTAGAGTTGGAATTCCAGAATATTTACACAATATAAGCACACGGCCACTGGCACCACACACATCTTACTGTGCTAGGCACGCTACCAGCAGAAACTCCACCTACAAATAGAAGACTATAATTCAGATAACACAGAGGAAATCAACCTACTGAGACGTGAATCATCATAACATTTCTAACAAATGTCAATCAGAAACATTTATCAATGTTTACCTGAGTCATCTGCCTTCCACTAGGCCACACCCTATCTACTGGCATCATAAGTTGGGTTGCTCTCTCCACTGCCTACCCTCCTTGGTACTTTGTTGAACAAGTTTCAAAAGATTCAAACATACTCAAAGGAAAAATATTATCTCCAGATGTTTTCAAATAAGAGAGCATTTGACAAAGGAAAGCAGAGATAAGATCAAAAGAAGAATCTACATACAGCCCTGACTCTGGTTATCTTTCCATTAACCTTACGACTTCTCCCTCCCCAAGCAAAGCCACCCTAGATATCTACATATTAAGGGTATAAATGTCACTGGCCTCATCCTGAAGCAGTCAGCCTTGGATGACCAAATTCCTAGGTTTCATCTGAAATGTTCATAAATGAGTTAACTATCTCCCTATCTGAACTCTTCCTTCAATACTTATTGGGCTAGTGCTAGGGGGGTATCAAAAAGATTTTTCAAACAGGTAAATGAGGAAAACAAAAATGGTGTTCTGGATTGGAAATTTCTGTAAATATTTCCACTTTCACTCAGTGAGCTGCAGAGTTGTATAAATTACTCAGGGCTCTACAGTGAGGTTTATGATCCTCTGAAGAGGGACTAGAAGCCTCAGAAAGAGCCTGGTATATTTAATAAACAGACCTGGAGGTGTTGGTCTGGACTGAGGTGACTATCTGATCTAAAGCAGGCCTACAGAGTCCAACTGGTCTTAGAAATATTAAATGTTTCCAGTCTCTACCTCACTTCTTCCCTACCCCCTTAAAGTTTTAGAAAACTATTATTATATAATATTATATTGAAGTGTGGGGTTGGGAGGCATAAAATATGCCAGCATACTAGTCATGTTCTAAATAAGAACCAGAGAAGTTATAGGGTAGAACGAGAACGTGTCTGAAATTCTACTTTATTTTAATGAGACACACCATGAGTATGAATCCTATTCAATCTGAGGAGGGCACGGTAGTTCAGAAGAGCCAGACAAGAGCACCCGGAACAATTAAGAGGTAAGTGTAGGACTTAACGAGAAACAGTAAAAGGAAGTGGATTACTTATAGGTTGGAGAAGCAGCAGCCGAGGGGGTTTCAGTCCTCAGGTACAGAAAAGGTTAGCATACAAAGGACGATGGGGGATTCAATGTATCTCACCTCTATGGAGGGCAAGGCATTAGTAACGTGACTTCAATGACAATACAGGGATTTGACTCTAGCTATTTGGATCAACTTCTTTACACAAAAAAGGTACACTGCAACAGACCTCTGAAGGAAGCTATAAAATCTTCAATCTCCTTTTGTGAGTATCTTCAAAACCAAGATGGATTTGATGTGGTTCTGATCAGACTCCTGAAAGTTCTACCCAAACATGAAACTCGGTGATCAAGTTCAATCTAGGATCTCATGTGGTAGAGAGTGAAAAAAAATTTCAGCATTTTTTTATCTCCTTGAAAACAACTCTTGCCTACACTGAAGGATCTTGAATGTTGCTGGACTTAGTAATCTGACAGCAGCGGCCTCAACATACTGAAGAGAATTTCATTCTGAACTCAGACACTATTATCTTCTCCACTTTATTAAAGAAGTTGAGACACATAGAAGGAATAGACTGATCAAGTTAGAGGAAGAGGTGAGAACAGGGTCCAAGTCTTTAGTTTATTATATTCTCAAGTTATCTTGGGAATTACACTTTATAGCTAAGAAAAGACTGCTTCCAAGAGTGAGATTAGGGTAAAATGGCTAAAGGGACATTTAGGAAGAGAAGAGATCATCATCAAAAAGTTTTCCTGAATTCATCAGTCTTCCCCTTATGTGGGTTCTCCGGGGAATATATCAAGGGAGGAGGTGGCAGAAACTTTTCTCTCGTATGGACTTCCCGATGTTTGGTGAGAACAGAACTCTTACTGAAACGTTTGCCACACAGGGCACATCCGTAGGGCTTCTCTCCAGTGTGTATTCTCCGATGTTCTCGAAGTCTTGTACAGTTATTGAAACTCTTTTCACAATCTAGACATTTGTAAGGATTCTCGCCAGTGTGGACTCTCCGGTGGGCACTGAAATGAGAACTGTTGGTAAAGCTTTTCCCACACTCTCCACACTGATAGGGCTTCTCTCCAGTGTGGGTTCTCTGGTGTATAATAAGACTTGAGCTCTGACTAAAGCATTTTCCACACTCTCCACATCTGTAGGGCTTCTCCCCTGTGTGGATTCTCTGGTGGGCACCAAAGTTTGAGGAGTCATTAAAGCTTTTCCCACAGTCAAGACATTTAAAAGGTTTTTCTCCTGTGTGGATTCTTTGGTGTCTGATTAGGCTCCTGCTTCTACCAAAGCCCTTCCCACAGACACCACACTTATAAGGATTTTCCTTCTGATGGGTCATCCGGCACATAAGACGAGCACTCTTTCCAAAGCTTTCTCCGTATTTGAGAAGCCTATAGGGTCTCTTCCCCATGAAAGGCCTCTGATGTACTACAACTTTCCCTAAATCTCTAGGCTGAGACATCAGCTTTCCCTGTCTGATTCCTTGAAGGCTTTCCCATTGTCTTCCTGAGATGCATTCCCTTTTATGATATTTACCCGGATCAGTATTCTGGGAAACTACCCTTTTAGACTTTTCTATTAACACCCTATGCTGCTCCGTGTCTTTATATATTACCTGTGTCGCATCCTCCTTGATACTACCTCCAATTTCAAAACCTGAAAAAAAAAGACCATAAAAATTTCAGACCAGGCCCGTATTAACATAAAAAACATGGTCTACAAGGTTTCATATGTTAGGATCCCTGTATACCTCACCAGCCTTGGGTCCTGTTACTCTTCCCTGATTCATCATGCCCTATTTTCATTCAGTTCCGTGAACAGCCTATAATACCCAGCATGCAGTAGGCCTTTGGAAATGTTTTCTGAATTGAATTATAATCCAAGCCATTATTCCCGACGCATACCCTGATTAACATGGGAGCAACTTAGCTTACCCCCCTGAAGTTCTACTCCAATTCATCCTGCTTTCAAATTTCATATCTATACTAAAATACACTATACTACACAGATGGTTAGAGTATATTCTAGAGATCAAGTCCAAGTTTTTCAATGGACTTCTAAATTCATCAATATCTAATCATATCCTACCCAAGAGTCTTTTTTTCTTCTCCTCAAAAGTTCCTGTCACTTTGCTTTTCTGGCTGTCTCACACAAAAACCATACTAATTCAAATATTAATTCTCACTGTTCCCCAAACTGGAATTATCTTCTCATTCCTTCATCTACATCCCACATTTACTACAAGGTACATCTTGGATTGCAGCTTTTCCAAGAAGTTTTCTGGACAGAGAGTATAATACGGTGAAGAGACACAGGCTTCAGAGTCAGACAGCTCTGTTCTGATTCCATCCTGGTCACTTATTAACTGTGGTTTTGTATTAACTTTTTATTATGGAAAATTCAAACACACAGAAAAGTAGAGAATAGTATGTACAACGAACTTCCATGAATCATTTACCCAGCTGTAACAAGATCTGCTCATGGTCAATCTTGTTTCATTTCCATTCCCACACACTTCCTGCTCCCTCCACCCAGATTATTTTGAAGCAAATTCCAGATGTCATTTTTTCCAATCCATAAATATTTCAGAAGCTGTGTAACTTAGGCCCAATCCAGGTTTGTTTGATTCCCAAGCCTTGTTCTTAATCATTTTTCTATACTGCCTTGTTTCTACTTGCCAGTTTCAACATGACTTTCCTTCCACACACTGAGTTGAAACTGCTGCTCAGTCCCAAGTGGGGCCGCTGTGGCACAGGCTGGGGAGAAGAGGACGGCCATCAATCAATCCATTAACTTACAAGCCCTAACAATGCCATCTTTCATTTAACAGTAGTTCTTTTGAAATGTTCTGATTGGGTCCAACACTGTTCTGGGATTTAGAGGAAGTCACAGCCTAGGAGTTGGTTCAGACAGAGCCTGATAATTTGATGACAGGTCTGGAGCTCATCTTAAAAAACAAGATTCACAAGAGATGGTAGCAAAGGACTTTGTTTCCAGACCTATCAAACCAGGGTTTCGTAGGACTTAACAGTTTCAGCCTTCGTACTACAAGTTCCCATATAAATACTATCAGCAAGCCTATACATGAACTTCCTTCTCTAACATTTGTTTTGAATAAGTTCAGAGTGCTGGAAGAAAAATATAACAGGTAGTCTAGAAAGAGAAGATGAGCTCAGATTAAGGATGGTGGTGGAATCTTCATACAAGTGTGATGGAGAAAACCACTCTGGAGATTTTTACAATAGTCTAGGCAAGAGACGGAGAAAGACTGAACTAGGGTAGTGGTTGTGGTAACTAAAAGTGCCATCTGCCTGGATGTAAATAATGAGAGAGAAGACATCAAAAATATCTCTAAGTTAGTCTGGATGACCTCTGGGAGGACACAGGGAAGAGCCCTGCTGTGGGAAGGAAGTTTTGAAAATTTTAAGTCTGGGCTGCTGGTGAGATGCCCATGGTGGCATCCAGCAGTCAGTGGGAAATACGTAGGTGGAGCTCAGAACCAGAATAAAGTCTCCCTCTCATTTTGTCTCTGCCTATCCTTTTTCTTATGGACATCACACATAATTGAGATATTATCTGTTTTGAGCTTATTGACAACACTTCCTTTATCTGAGTTTTGTTTTCACATATAATTCCAACTTCTTCTTCCCCACAGTATTTCCAAGGGATATAAAACATTGCCTGACCCATAGAGACAAAAATCGAGTGCTCCTTGAATAGAAGCACCATGAGAACAGGGACTTTTTTTTTTTTTTTTTTTTTGGAGGAAGATTGGCCCTGATCTAACATCTGTTGCCAATCTTCCTCTTTTTGCTTAAGGAATATTAGCCCTGAGCTAACATCTGTGCCAATCTTCCCCTATTTTGTATGTGGGATGCTGCCACAGCATGGCTTGATGAGCAGTGTGAAGGTGTGCATCTGGGAACTGAACCCACAAACTCCAGGCCACCAAAGCGGAGCATGCGAACTTACCCACTACATCACCAGGTTGGCCCCCAGGGACGTTTTTTAAATTCACTGCTATATCCCTTGTTCCTCAAACAGCAAAGGACACTCAATTATTTGTTTAATGAATAAATATTCATAAGTGATGTGCCATAGCTACTGTTTTTTCAGCAAATCACACTTCTTCATCTTTTAGACTACAACTTTTTCATGATCCTTACCACTTGGGCTTTGCAGCAGATCTGGAGGTCCCTGGAATTCTGGCTCTTGTAAAATTTCCTCCTCACTCATTCTCTCACTGCCAGAGTCTTCTAATATTGCCTCCTGTGAGGTCTCCTCAGGTTCCCAGTCTGTAGGTTCCTGGGGTTCAATCTCAATATCCTCTCTTTCTTGCCTTGAGGGTAACAGGACTTCTTCTGGGGTGTTGGTGGAAGGGGCAGATGCCCGGAAGTTAATCAGGGCATCCATCTCCTTGTAGAACGCGCAGGACTCTAGCACGTGACCATTTTTCACTTTGCGGTAACTCTTCTGAAGGCTTTTGAACTTGGTCCGGCACTGCTCTGGTGTCCGCAGGAAGCCACACTCTCGCAGTTGTTCAGCCACAGCCCCATACAACTTGCTCTTCCGATGACAGGCTTGAAGTGCTTCATAAAACCGAGTCTCACGGAGGATATCAAGAAAAGTCTTGGTTTCCTCGTAGCCCCAGTGCACTCCTGCCATTCAAGGATAAAATTCAAAGATATAAGAATAGTATATATTTTCTTATATACAACATATAAAGGGTAAAAGAAAACAAATCCCATTCACAGTAGCAACAGAAACTATGATATGTCTGAGAATAAGCTTTGAAAGAAATGAGAAGGTCTGTATAGAAAAATCTATATTTTATTGAAAACCATAAAAGAACTAGAAAAAATGGAGACACACTATGTTTCTGGATATGAAGACTCAAGTTGTATAGATATCAATTCTCAAATGAATCTAGAAAGTCAAAATCCCAATAGCATTTTTTAAATGAAATTGATAAACTGATCTCAAAATTTACTTGGTAGAGTAAAAATGCAGTCCCCCAAATCTTCCATTGCTATGGTGAATAACTAAGGATTCAGCTGTCTTTTCAAAATGGTTAAGAATAACAGCCTAGGACACCCAATAGGAACTTCCCCTACAAAGTTCCTATCGCTTCTTTAACCAGTCTTCCTTAAAGACCAGAACTATGTCCAGAGTGGTCTTTGATGTCCCTGAGTCTTCTCCCTTGAGAGACGAAATGATCTGCAAGACAAGTAGATTTTCTGCTTTTATAGCAGAATAAATCTATTCAGTTTGTTAAACACGCTTTTTCTGTGTTTTGTAATCTGTAGTAGGAAAAAGTCATTTCTATCCTCCATCTCACTGGGTAGTCTCTCCCAGTCCTGTCACTGGATTTTCATATTTGAGACCCCCCCCAAAGAACCCCATCCTCATGCCTATGGATTTCCAGACTGGTGAATACCTGTATATGCATAACGCATCTTCCCATCTTTTCCCCGAGATGTTTCTTTTGAATAGGTATAATCATGAGTATACTTCCAGCTCTCCCAGTCCGGTTTATTTTTCCATTCTTTCTAAGAACTTATCATCTTTTCACAGAGTGAAGTAGAGAAACATTACTAATAACAGTGATACCAGGCAACGTTTTACTGCATTTTAGCATTTGCAGACTGCCTTCATCTTTATTGTCTCATTTAACACTAACAACAATCCTGGCCTTCTTAGTCATATTTTACAGATGACAAAATTGAAGCTCAAAGTACTTACATGATGCATCTATTGTCACAAGTTATTAACTGGCAGTTTAGTTCTGCATGCCCCAGTCCCCAAATTTCAATACCAGCTTTCTTGTGCATGATATATCTTTTTCTATTCTTTTAATTTCACTGTCTTTGTGTTCTTATATTTAAGATATATCTCTTGTAAGCAACAGATAGTTTTTTTTTTTAAATGTCTGACAGTCTTAGTCTTTTAAGCTTGCAACTAATGACATATTTGGATTTACATCTACTATCTTACTGCTTTTTTCCGACTTGACTCATCTAGTTTGAGTTCCTTTTTCTTTCCTTTCTTGTATTTTAGAATTCCACTTTTTTCACTCTTTTAACTTTAGTTACACATTCTTTTACGGGTTATCCTAGATAGTATAATAATGTATTCCTGATTTATCACAATCTAATATAACTGACTGCTTTACATCAATTCTCAAATAGTGTCAGTTCCTTAGAACACTTTGACTCCACTGATCTTCCTTCCACATGCCCCAAATACTCGAAGTCCATGCTGTGCTCTAACCACGGCCAGTCGGTGCTGGTAATCAGACTGCACGGGGGCAGCAACAAACACCTGAGAGTACATTCAGTGATCTGGCCAATCACAGTGATACGTGGCACGGTGTGCCTGACAGCACTCCCCAGGTCTGGTCACTCCTGGACTACTCATCTTTCCATAAGACTACACCATCCATTTTCATACCAGAAAAAAGAGCACAATTCTTACCACTCAGGTTTTGAAACAAGACAGGGGCACCACGAATCTCAGACTTCCGGATAAATTCAACGCCCATTTCACCACCATCAGATTCTTCTGCTGCTTCTTCCTCCTCCACCAAACTGATCTGTTCTTTAGCACTGAGACCAATTCTCTTTAGTCTGGGGAGAGATATAATGTCCCTTGTCTTATCAGTGGATGAAGCATAGGCTGCAGGGTTCAACAAAGCGTCCATGTCCTCAAAGAAGGCACAGGGTTCTAGCACGTGGCCATTTCTCACTTTTCGATAGCTCTTCTGGAGACTTTTGAACTTGGTCCGACACTGTTCTGGTGTTCGGAGGAAGCCACATTCTCGTAACCATTCAGCTACAGCACCATATACCTGGCTATTTCGGGGACAAGCCTGAAGAGTTTCATAAAAGCGAGACTCTTTGAGAATTGCAAGAAAAGTCTTAGTTTCCTCATAGCTCCAATGCACGCCTGCTATTTTTTCATCTTCTAAACCCCACTGTTGCTGCTCTCTCCACGTTTTCCCTGCATTCCTTACAGGGATCTGAATAGCATGAACTGACTTTTCCTTGACATAGTTGTTTCGTAGAATATTCCTTTTATTAGAGGAATGTAGACCTATGGTCCATGGCTCCTTTCTTTGCTCCAACTGGGCTATCTTGTTAGATGTAGACACTGTACTTCCTACAGTAAGAAAAACATATTTCATGCTAGACACAGAGGTCATTACTACATGCCCCAATCTTCTGCTGTAGCGTGCTCTCCTGGACCGCTTGTTCACACCTATTTTTTAAAGGTCTTGTCTAATTCACTTCTCTTCTAGAGCCTTCCTCAACCATGACAGTGCTCATTATGGTTATTCTTACGTGAGTTCTTTGGCATAATCATCTACTAATTTACACTATCCTTTTACTTCTCACGTACGTATCACCTCTTTCCCAAGCTAGTTCTTAAAGGAAAAGCTTAAAGAGTAAGAAACATATTTTATTAAGTTTGATTCCCTCTCAGTATCTAACATTGTGTTAGGTTCAGAGTATGCTCCTAACCAGTATCTGTTACTTATAAAATAAAGTGTGCTTATATCTGCTCCCCACCTCCCCCTACCCCCACCCCAACACACACACATATATACACACTGGGGCTATGAGAGACGAGAAGTCAAAAATTTTTGGATAGATCTGCCAAGGTTAACGGGAAACAGATATAAGAATAGGGAAGCAAATTGAGAGTCTGTTACCTTTCGATACTGTAGAGATCAACATGTCTTAAATTTGAATCCTAGCTCCACCACTTACTAAATCTCTTTGAACCTCAGTTTTCTGGGGAATAACATCATCTATTCAAAGAAGTGCTGGGAATATTAAATAAATGATCTGCAAAGTGTCCAATGCCCAGTCGGTATATAATAAAATTCAGTTTTTTTCTCTAGACAACACACACAGAAGCTTCATGGAATTCTAGAGCAGCAGCATCAAATCAAATTATTCCTGAAAGAACCCTGGGGATGGAGACTTGCTCTTTATTTCTACATGACAGAAATAAGTGTAGAGACAATGAAAGCTCAATTATCAATGTAAACGAGTGAGGCAGCTGGAGTGAGAACAGTTGCAGTTCACATGAGCTCCTTTATTCAGTGGTGGATGATCGCTGCTTACGTAAGAAGGTAGGCCCATGGTGCCTGATGTTTGATTTTTCAAGAGATACTGGAAATCCAGATTTACAAACTAATTTTAAATCAAAACCCTATGCAAGGCCAAAATATGTGTGTAGACTAGATTCAGCCCATGAGCCGTCAATTTACAATCTATGATAAAAGACTGGGTCAGGCGTCTCTGGGCCTGGGTCTTTCCATACATAATTACACATGAAGGGGCTGGGCTATATATGAATTCTCAAAGTAAGGTCCCTATCCTACTCGTGGCAGATTTTACTAAGGACTCTAATTCAGCATTTTATTAGGTCTGGATGCTATGTGATGCCAGGCAACGCTGGGACACATCTATCATATACACAACCAGGCAGACGGCTAGGATGCCTGCTGTTTTGGGATGAGCGCTGTGGTGCTAGTGTGTCATCAGTGTCCTCTTAAGTTGGTCATTCTTTTCAACTGCTTTTTTTGCTTTCTAATTATAAACAATGGTTGGTTTATCTTTATTCATTTAGTGTGACATGGCCCATTTTATAATCTCTATACTTTAGCATCTACACATAGCATCATTGTCCAAGAGAACTGTCTGTGATGATGGAAATGTTCTATAACTGTGCTGTCCAATACAGCTACTGAATACGTTAAACATGGCTACCATCATTGAGGCACTCAATTTTTACCTTTAATTAATTTTATAAATTTAAACTTAAATAGTCATGTGTGGTTAGCGGCTACCCTACTGGACAGAACAGGTCTACAGTATCTATAGTGTGTACTAGTGCACTTTTTAGGCCTATAATTTTATTCATAACTAGTCTCTGACTTGTAGTTCACATATGAAAGAATCGTACTACTCCTACTGCTAAAGCAGATGACATAATCCTTCAAAACTTTGCTTATATATAGAAAACCCTAAAGAATCCATCAGAAAACTATTAGAAAAAATCAACAACTACAGCTAAGTTGCAGGCTACAAAATCAACTTACAAAAATCAGTTGCATTTCTATACTCTAATAACAAACTAACAGAAAGAGAACTCAAGAATACAATCCCATTTACAATCGCAACAAAAAGAATAAAATATCTAGGAATAAATTAAACCAAGGAGGTGAAAGAACTACACAATGAAAACTATAAGTCATTATTGCAAGAAATTGATGATGATATAAAGAAATGGAAAGATATTCCATGCACATGGATTGGAAGAACAAACATAGTTAAAATGTCCATACTACCTAAAGCCATCTACAGATTCAATGCAATCCTAATCAGAATCCCAACGACATTCTTCACGGAAATAGAACAAATAATCCTAAAATTCACATAGGGCAACGAAAGACCCCAAATAGCTAAAGCAATCCTGAGAAAAGAGAACAAAGCTGGAGGCATCACAACCCCTGACTTCAAAATATACTACAAAGCTATAGTAATCAAAATAGCATGGTATTGCTGGAAATGAAAAATTCACTAGAGGGACTCAAAAGCAGAGTAGAGGATACAGAAGAACAGATCTGTGAGCTGGACGAAAGGCTAGAATAAATTACCCAAGCTGAACAGGTAAAAGAGAAAAGAATTAAAAAGAGTGAGGACAGTCTAAGGGACCTCCGGGACAACATCAAGCACGCTAACATCCATGTTATAGGTATCCCAGAAGGAGAAGAGCGAGACAAAGGGGCAGAGAATCTACTTCAAGAAATAATAGATGAAAACTTCCCTAACCTAAGGAAGCAAACAGACATCCAGGTACAGGAAGCACAGAGAGCCCCAAACAAGATAAACCCAAAGAGGCCCACACCAAGACACATC